CCAAGTGGTCAACTCTGTCAGAAGATAGTCAATCTGTCGTTCTAGTTATGGGCCTTGGGTGACACTATGATTGCTCTCAGCTCTTATTACCTGGCTGTCGTCTTCGCCAACACACTGTTGTTGGAAATTGGAACACCACTGAGTTGAATTTCGATCCTGTTTGTCTTCCAACAAGCAGCGACTCTGAGACGTTAAACATTTCTCAGCATGCAGGTTAAAAAAAAAAAATATATATATAGATTTGAACAATCTTTTTTTACAGCGGAGCTGTTAAGGGCCAGTTTCCCTAGAATCGTGTCCACCAGCAAAGAAATGATGATACCAAACTTTGGACAGCTGCCGCCATCTATGAGCGACGCCGGCAACCTTTCTTCACAAGAAGAAGAGCATGAGCGGAGCGAGCAGCGATGTGCTCAGCAGCGCGAACCGTTCCGCAATAGACTACTTCCATAAAGCCCTGCATGCAACACGGCGCGCGTTGCACTCTGGGAACTAGTTGGCCAGGGAGGAGAGTGGTATGGTTTCGGTTTCGATCGACACGTCGACAAGAGGTCACACACAGAGCATGGAATATTACCGGATTATTATCTCATGCTTTCTGGTCCCGAGAGCGTCATTTTTGGTCTCTAAACTAACCTAAATGGCCAGATCTCGAAGCTTTAGCACAAGCCCGAGACGTATAGCTTGTCTTAAAGCATACTTGTTGTATTTTTGTACTTGAGCCTTTCTTTTAGCGTTTCGAGGTATGTGGACAAGCCAGTGCTGGGAATTTCGACGCTGCGAAGCTCGGGGATCTTGCTTGTGTGCGAATCAGCAAGCTGTAGCAACCAATAAGTATGCATACATCGAGCTCGAGCCTTTACATTAGTATTTCTGATCAGTTTGTTTCGTGCGTCTATAGACGAAATATAACTTTTTGCGCTTACTGTTTTTCTTAATGCGTCTGAGTATGCGAGGTAAATCTCGGAGGCGCCATTGAAAAGCTCCATTTGAACATACTTCTCATCTGTTATCTGTACTGCCCCGCAGCACTGCACGAAGTGAATTAAGTTTCCAACCGCTTACATTCCACTAACAGTGAACATCGCGTATGGGCATAAAGTTATCCTGAAATAATATAAGCACATTCGCACATACAAACCGTTTTAAGAAAGCAAAAGTCGAGCACTTGTGTGAAGAATGTCGCACCGTTCGCCGGAAGTGCGCCGGACGGGCATGAACCCCTATGCGGTGCGCCAAACGAACGAAATTATTCAAAGCGCATTTCACGGTTGCTAATGGCTCTAATATTGGTTATGTTTGTTTGCTTTCTTGCTGACTGAGTATGCCGAGATAATTTCAGACACACCGTTCAGGCACAGATCTTGGGCGTCAGGGAAAGCTCGTTTAAAAAGGCTTAGTGCGGAGTAGGGGACGCTTGTTAGGGCCTCCGTCGTAGCAAGCCGATCTCAGTGTTTGCGAAAACTTATACCTTCTATCAGCATAAAATTTGAGTGGGAGACATGTGATGACACGAGGAAGACATCATAGTCACTTTTTTTGCAGTAGTGAGGTCGAATTTATTGCGTTTCCTTAAAAAATCATGCGCCAACGCTGGGCTCAACTTTGATAATCCAGTGAAGATGCGGCTTGCTTTTCGTCCAATTAAGTAACAAGAAGCGAACGTTTGGCCAAGAAAATACGTGTAGGGCTCAAGGTGACCAAATTTCAGTTGTGGTTCACTGGTACTATACGGGATTACTAACAATGAGCTCAAAGATGCACTCGTAAGGTGAGGTGACTAAGCCACGTCTTACTATGTTTGCATACGCACGGACAATATCCGGTGTTTCGGGAACCAAAGAAAGTGCCCCGGTCTTCGTTTTGTATCGCTCGAGAATGAGTGTATTGTACATTCGTAAAAAGTCAGATAATCGAAAACGCAATCAGCGCGTTCGGTTGTGGCGTGATATCATGATATGAACCTGCTCACTCGAAACCGGAACTGTGTGGCCAACTAGTTCCCAGAGTGCACTGCGTGGTATTTTGCCGCGATGGGGCGCGTCGGTTTTGGAAGAAGTCCATTGCCGCGAGGCCGCTATCGCCTAAAGTTCCACTGCGTCGAGCGCTTCAGATTCCCTTGCGAAAGAAGAGCAGATCACTCGCCTGGAAAGCCACCGCCGAAAACAGAAGCTACGGCTCCACTGTTCTTCCTTCTTCACCAGAGTAGAAAGGCTGAAAGTATTGGCTAGCAAAATTTCGCCAACGGACCAAAACCTATGTACTTTGTATTTGCAGTTGAAAAAATACTTCTAAAACTGCTAAGGGTTCCACCAGTATCAAATCTAGCGTCTGTTATCATTTTCTCTTAAAAACCCGACGGCCAGTTTGCGCTTTCCACTTTCCCCCCGCTTCCTCCTCTCCCCCTTTGTACGCTGTCCACCGCTGCCTGTTTCTCCTCCCCCAGGGTGAGGAGGATCTTCTGCCTTGCAGAATCTCGTATGTGGTCGTCGGCCTTTAAAGCACGTCATGTGCACCGATGAGACTTTTCACTGCTTACGCCACAGTCACTAACTCAATAGGCTCACTGTGGAAGCCCCTCGTTTCTACAGTTTTATTTGAACGAAATATTTTTTTTTTTTCACAAATGCTTTAACAAATATGTAAGAAAGCGACAATGCATAGTTTGTTATAGGAGCACCCATTAAACCCTTCAGAATGTGTTCTACTGAATGGGTTCTAAAGTTATTTGTTGCGAGTCACACTCACAATTGCTACAAATTACAACCTAACATTCTTGAGATGCTTTTTCATGCTGGGGCACCCACTTAGCTTCGCGGTTCCCCTTTTCCGAGGAACGAACATAGTGAACGCATTCACTGCATAAGTGCGCAAAATTTGGAGGTTGTAATTCTGATCTAGAGATGTAGTACTAGCTGTGAACGATGGCTTCTTCCTATGTATCCAAGTGATACATTCAGTAATCTTCAGACTAATATTTTTGTTTAGTACAAAGTAATCTTCAGACTAATATTGTCGTTCAGTCCAAGGAGAAGGGGTGCTAGGTTCTTCTCTTTTACTAAAAGAATTGCTACCTTTGGCAACTTGCCCGGTTGTTCTAACTTAAAGATATAAGCTACTCGTCGGAAAAGACATCCTCCTCCCACTCTGGCGTGTGGGCGCGAGGCCCGTTGGTACGTTTCATGTAAAGTTTTGTGTTGTGCTTCCGACTTGAGTGCGGAAATTTGAAGACCTCGTCTACAGTTGTGCGCAGAGAGAGCCAACGAAAGGTTTTCGCGTCACCAAACAACTTCGTTGAATTGACTCTTCAGTTACCAAGATGGGCTTCTGGTCAAAATATCCATAGAGTCTAAATGTCGATCGAGTCAAAATATACAATGGGTCACGTGAGATGCGTGTCGAAATGTCCACCGAGTCAATATGTCCATCGAGGCGAAATGTCCGATAAGGTCAAAACTCCCACCAAGTCAAAATGTCCATCGGGTCCTTTTTTTTTTTTTTTTTTATTTGCAAGCTTCGGAAATTCAACAAAATACACTCCTTAAGGGATTGAACTCGAAACCCAGAAAACAAAAGTGATTGAAATCTCCGAAACCGCAAAATGCGCAAAAAGTAAAGTGGTATTTGAAACTTTTTGTTCACACATACACGTTCCATGCCACCCTTTTCTTGGTGTTTGACCAGTTGACCCAGTGACGAAGTGTCGTATAACGAATTCGCCTATGTGACCAATAGCCCTGTTACGATTTTTCCTTTTACAAATTTTCTTTCAACGAGCGCCCCACCTCCTCCGCTCCGTCAAGTATGCAAATATGTAAAAATGGTCACTCTGCTGTGTCCGGGGGCCTTGTTGTGTGGTGAAGTGTAACGTTGTTTGAGGGAACAATGTGGCATTTGTTCAGGAGCTCTATTTTAAAAGTTTCTGCTACAAACGGCATCATGAGCAGCTCGTTCACTTTCAGCCGAAGCTAGCGCGTTAATGTTCCAAATTTCAGGATTAGTACAGGAGCCAGAAAGTCGTTGCCCTTCATTTGGAGCCCAGAAAGTATTCTCGAGTTCGTTCTTTTTTTAAATCTTTGCCTTCACATATTCCTGACATTATGTCATGAAAATGACTAAACTTTTACAATATTTGTGTAGCAATTTTTGCTCTATCAACCGATAGATACCACCAATATACGGGCCAATGGGAGCGGATACAACCCTGTTTTTCGGAGCGCTAACATCATTCATATTTGCCAACACGTAATTCCAGCAGTTCGGTACCGGAGACCGCGCATACAGTTAATTCGAGTTTTTTTTTTTTTTTTTTTTTTTGCGAACTTTTATATTTGGCGAATTAAAAAAAAAACAATGATTCGCGGGACCAGATGTTTGTGATTGTTTTTAAATTACTAAATTTGTGAAACTGTAGTCAGCGAACGCGCCCTAGATAGTTTGGCATTGGCTTTTTTTTTAATTGTTCAAACCTTTTCGAACTTTTGGCACTCTTCTCTGAACATTCGGCATTTTGTGCAGATCCCTGGGCACGCTCTTGTTGAGGTTGAGCTGGCAGTAACCTTTGTTTTAGTTTTTGAATGGGAAAAAAGCTGTTCTTTTCTAAAACATCCGGCACAGGAAAATATGGTTGATCAAAAAAAGTTAAAAAGTTACTTAGATTTGCACGACTTGTCAGATTATGACCGTTTGTGGAAGAACGGGTATGTATGTACACCCTATATGTATACAAGTGAGTGTCAGCACCAGTGGTTAAATAGGAGTCAATGATGTAAACTGTCTAACGGGTAAAATTGGCCATTAGAACGAAATGTCCATCGAAGCAAAAAATTCATCCTGGTCAAAACGACCATCGAGACGAAATGTCCACAGGGTCAAAATGTCCAATATTGGACATTCTGGCTGGATGGACATTTTGTCTCGATGAACATTTTGACCGGGAATCACCAAGATGAATAACTCTGATACCTTCATATGCACTGCCACGCGCTCAATGCAGGCACCAATCGCCCCATGGACAGATGTCAGCCTCCGCCTGGTTGGTCATGACCGTGCCAGGTTCCCTTCTAGCTGCGATCGTTTCTGGCATCTACGTCTACCATTCTCTAATTAGGCCTCAGTGAGTGAAAAGTGGATTTTACTCTCATATCTCTTCCAATTTTTTTATCCGATTCCCGGGGCAGATTTGTACGAGTTGAAACCAATTGGCTTCATTCTGGAAGCTTTTTTCAATTGATAGGTTATAAAAATTTAGAAAAAAATGAAGTTGAGAAGATTTGTCTTTTTTTCCCCTCCTTTTTTTCCCACAATCTGATTAGGAATGCATTTTATGCAAATATGTCTTACTTTGAGCCATTATTTCACCTTGTTATGTCTTTGATAATAAAATCTTTAAAAATATAATTTGATATTTTTATGTAGGATAGATAAAATATTCTATAGTTTGCAGGGGATATGAGCTATTAGACATGAGCGGAGTTTCAAAGGGGTGGTTGAACGATATTCTTTGGAATATTTTTCACTTTACACAAGCTTACTGGCACTAGTGGGCCTCGAGGATACTGCGCGCATCGCCACTGGCCAAGAAACACCTTTGTTGCGGTGTAATTTTAAGGACAAAAGCGAGCGTTTCCATTCAATCTCTCCTTCGCGAAACTTGATGACGTGTTAGCTTGGCCCAGCTCGTTTGTCTACTTGTTTGTCTTTCCTCGGCGGGATCTGTAATGGATCCTCAATACGTGACTTTTGCGAGCGCAGCGAGCGCACGGGGTTGCGGGCCCAGCTTGTTTACGCTTCGCGAGAGCGTGAACTGAACTTCGCCCATAGCGCCCATAGCGCCTGCCTGGGAAGAAGACACCGCTTGTGCCTGCGTGGGAAGAAACCTCTCACAGAACGACCGGAGACACGCCACGTATACGCACGCAAGAGACCATGTAATCAGAAGTTAATCTAGTATAATAAACGCTATTTCGTTTTCTCAAATCAACGTCGTATTAATAAATAACGGAACGTCAGCACCCGGCCAACGCTGACATGGCGCAGCCGACAGGATCCGCAGAATCCAACGAAGCCGGTTACCACGCCCTGATCACGGACTCCAACAAGGGAACGGAAACCACCAATCAGGACACAATGCGTCAAGAGATACAAGATATCAAAATTCAACTCCAGCAACTAATCCTGGCCTTCAACAACGCACTTTCAACGCCACACCTAGAAAATGGCGTCAACGTGACGGACCGAAACGGACCAGAACGAGAAGTAACCACGACGGATGCTTCTGCGCTGGGCACGACAACGCAGGTGAGCGGCAACGCAACAACGGTTGATTTGCTGTCGGTCATCGTCCAAACGCAACAACAACTGGCCGAGACCCTACGACAGTCCACGAGGCCCCTCCACGTCCACTCCACGAGCGACACTTCGCACGCGATTCCCACGTTCGAGGGGGAGTCATACGAAAACGTCGCTGAGTGGCTTCGAGAAATCGAACGAGTGGCTCTCCTCGCAAGCTGGACACCAAACCTCACTCTGCTCAACGCCGTCACCCGCCTTCACGGTGCCGCTCGAGACTGGCACAAGTCATACGGTTCCCGGATCGACGACTGGGAAGTATGGAAGGAAGCCATCAAGGAACGCTTCCAACGAAAAATGGGAATTCAACAATTTTTGGAGTACCAACAACGCCGACAGCTCCGCCACAACGAGAGCATTGTGCAGTACATCTACGCGAAGAATGCCATGCTCGAGCGAGCTCCCTGTGAGCTAGGAGCCAGCGAACGCATCTCTTTAATCCTGCACGGAATCACCGAGGACAAGTGGGCCAATCCCCTGGCAGCCCAAGGCTGTAAATCGGTCCTCGAGCTGATTGACTGCGCGACGACTTTGGACCACCGCCGTCCCAGAGAAAAGACTCAACCACGCAAACAAGGCACGCACGAGCATTCGACATCAACGCAGCAAACGACAGGCGCCCCGACCAGCACCCTGACGAATGCCCCATCACCGAAACCCTTCAAACGCACGAGGCAGAGCAGCTGTTTTAATTGCGACCAGCCCGGTCACTTCTCCAGGGACTGTCCAAAGCCGAAAACTGCAGCGACCATCCGTGCAGAGGAGAAACGCGCACAAAAGGGCGCGGGTCCAAACGAGAAGAATGTCCACTGCTTCTTGCGCACGACAGGAGATTCTCTCCCCATCGTCACCGCCTTCACGGATAACCGTCCTTTGAAGGCGTTCATCGACACTGGGGCCAACATATCGATTATCGATCCCAGGGCACTACCAAAGGACGCTTGCGTATCGACGTGGTCCCGGGCAGAGGAATTCGTCAACGTTTTGGACAAGAAGTTGACGCCTGAGAAGTGCACGTCTCTGACGATCAGCGTTGGATCAACGACGGTCGAGGTACCGGAAATACTCATTCTTCCACTCCCCAAGTCAATTGACTTACTTCTCGGATCAGATTGGCGCCAACTCGCTAACGTGGAAGTCACGTTTCACGTTTCGAACGACATAACCATTGTTGAACTACCTAAACGTTGCGATTCGCCCGCCGAGATTCCAAAAACGACAATCTCCGGAGAAGCTCTGGTGTCCAACTTTCACGAGAAACTGCCCCAAGCCGAACGCCTGGCCATGTTCGTGAAGTTCGAGCCAGCACGGAATGACATCGAAGCAGCCCTAATGCAACGAATCCACACGGCTGTGGATAGCATTACCGAAGACGCTTCGCCGGAAGAACGCGAAAGACTCTTCGGGATACTCACAAAACACCACGCTGCGTTTACGACGGTGGAGGAACAACTGGGCACCTGCCCACACGCCGAGCATTCCATCGAGCTACGTGACGAGATCCCCGTGGCGTCGCGGCCCTATCGATGCTCCCCAGCCGACCGGGAATTCATCAAACGACAGGTCGAAGACTATCGGGAGCGTGGAATTGTTCGCGAAAACCAAAGCGAATATGCTGCACCAACGCTTGTGGTAAACCAGCCGAATCATCCAGCCAACGGTCTTGTCGAACGGATGGTAGGGACGCTGAAGAATATAATTCGAAAACTCATCGAACCTCACAAGAATTGGGAGAAGGTTCTACCCGAGGCAGTTTTCTCTGTCAACGTTTCGCGACAGAGTTCGTCACGCTTCAGCCCCTTCGAACTCATGCACGGTTACGTCCCGAAACTTCCCGGACAGCTCAACATCGGAACAGTTGAGGCTGACCTAGACGAGACGACTAGACTCCACAGGTTGGCGAGACAGCGGCACGACGCGAAAAACAACTTGGAAAACTCCCAAGCTTCGGCCAAAAGCCGGTATGACGCAAGGAGCAAGACTCCGAGATTTAAAATCGGCGACTCCGTTTACTGCAGCATCGGAGCGAGGTCAAGCACGATGGACCTGTTCTTCGAGGGCCCGTTCGAGATCAAGTCCTTTCCATCCCCAAACACCGTGGTCATCAAAAGGCTGCATTCCATAAAAGAACGACAAAACGAAAGAAAGGCAAACATCGAGCAACTCCGCCTACATAATACACGCACACCAGCGGCACCGGAGTTATCCGACACCTGCGTCGGCCGAGCGCTCTCCGGCGCAGATGAAAGCGATGAACGTGAAGACAAGGACGGATCCGAAGCCCCAACGCGCGATAAAGAAAACTACGGAGCACTCATCAACATCGAGGATGACGCTGCAGGTCAGCAACTGTCAAGGACGCGCAGACCTCCGGCCTACCTTACGGATTACGCGTTGGAGTGATTTGAGGACAAATCAATTTTAAACCGGGGCGTGTTAGCTTGGCCCAGCTCGTCTGTCTACTTGTTTGTCTTTCCTCGGCGGGATCTGTAATGGACCCTCAATACGTGACTTTTGCGAGCGCAGCGAGCGCACGGGGTTGCGGGCCGAGCTTGTTTACGCTTCGCGAGAGCGTGAACTGAACTTCGCCCATAGCGCCCATAGCGCCTGCCTGGGAAGAAGACACCGCTTGTGCCTGCGTGGGAAGAAACCTCTCACAGAACGACCGGAGGCACGCCACGTATACGCACGTAAGAGACCATGTAATCAGAAATTAATCTACTATATTAAACGCTATTTCATTTTCTCCAATCAACGTCGTATTAATAAATAACGGAACGTCAGCTCCCGGCCACCGCTGACAGACGTAACTGGGAGATCGCAGTATCCTACAGTGACAATATTTGAATGCGGCTTATAAATTGGACCCGAGCATTGCGTGGACACTCAATTTGGGCTCGTGACAATCGATGGCTCGAAAAGCATTCGGGTAGTGGCCCGTGTCCAATCGCTGCCATGACGAGAATAGTCGAAACGTTACAAAGCCCGGAACTCAGCGCGTGTCCTGTGCCTTGCCAGCCCCAGCGCGTGGCTATGATCAACATTGGCGGCATATAATCGGCTCTAGACCACGTGGCCCCTTGTTCTGGCTGCGAGTTGAGGGGGTGAACTCGGCTCGTTTTTCTGTAATTTTGTCTGTGACTTCAATTGCGCGTTGTGAAAAAACGAACCGGTGTTTCACAGGTCCTTAACGTCAGGGCGCAAAGTACAAAAATTGTTGCATTGCCTCTTTAACAAGATTGCAGATATCTATATTTAAACCGAGATCTAGTACCCCTATATACTCGATCTTGCTAATAAATTTGATATCAAAATGAAATTGCCGTCACCTTAGAAACGTGGACATTTTCAAGCTGCTTGGAACGAGACAGCCGGGATTAAATATTAACTTAGTTCATCAGTTGAGTGCGCGATGCGAAATCTTAGAGATCTTATATTTGAGTCATCTTCAGCCGATGTTTTGCGTAAAAGGAACAATACAATTACAGTATACTTATTTATTTCAAATGCAGCCAGACGGAGGAAAATTTTCACGAACAGGGGGCCATCATGATCAACGCCCGAAGGAAGCTCCGAGGACTGGAAGCACCAACGTAAATATTGCCAGGGAAAAATGAAAGACGCTTACAATTCCCTGTAATGACGAATCAGAGCGCAGCTCATGAGGAGGAGGAGGGGAGTGTAAGGAGAGGAGGGTATGCCCCTCCTCCTCCATCTTCCTCTCCTCGTCCTCCTCCCTCTTCCCTTCTACCATCCTTCTCCTCCCTCCACCTCCTCTTAATATCCTCCCTCCTTCCTCCCCCTCCCTCCCTCCTCCCTCGCGACGTCACTCGTGAAGGCCTCGTGAAGGTCGTGACCTTCAGGTGACCTTCACTGTGAAGGTCGTGACCTTCACGAGTTACCTTTGTGACGTCACAAGGGTCACGAGTGACGTCATTATGGAAAACGTCCCATAATGGAACGCGCGGTCACGCCGACGGCGACGGCGACGGCGACACCGCTCAAGCCAGAAACAGGCGCCTAAGAGCTGCGCTCGGAAAAAAAAGAAATAGGAACGAAATTTAACCCTTTTCTGAACCAATACCGATCATTTTTTCTGTTCGGGCTGCCGGTCTCGTTTAATTAGATGCGATATTTTTACCACTTTGATGACTTCGTGCGGAAATGCTGTCGTATACGAGTATACTTATTACACCTACCTACGGTTCCGCTTTTTTTTTGTTGCTCTTTTTGGTTACCACGAGCGATATTGAGGCTAGTGTTTCTTTGTTTTGAATCACCTTTATTGTATGTGAACATTTGAAAAGAAATACTGACCCTAGAAAGCAGCTCTTTAGTATAAATTTGGCCATGCAATGTTTTTCGTTAAAATTTTATATATATTTGGGTTCGGCGTTTTGTCTTTGGCAGTAAGCAATCCAAGCTAGAACTATTACAAAATAGTGCATGTACTCTATTTCTCGTGAATAATAACAATAAAAAGGTCCAGTCCAACCATTTTTTTTTGTACTGACCTACGTGTATTTAGTGTGTAAATGTTCCGTTACTTTCGAATCGCCTTAGTGATGCGATAGAAAACAGCCCGCTGGTACTTACATTTCGTTGCAGAATGCTCAGCTCTTTGTTCATCTGTTACACGATCTTCTTCATCGCACTGTACGGACGGTTCGTCATAGAAGGATTACGAATCAAGTAAGCGTTCTTGGGTGTATTGTAGTAACGTATTTGAGGGCACATGTTTCAAAAAGTGCGGTAGTTCACAAGAAAAAAAGGAGGAACTCCTAAAATTCACTAGTGTTTTTAATCTTTGTGTCGTCTAAAGTTTACAGTTTTAAACCAAAAAAGTTGCAGGGAGGTTTGTCAGGCTCCTACCTTTGAGCGCAGAAGTTTTCGTCTTCAGAACAGTTGAGGGAGGTGGCGGGTCGGTTTAAGTAAATATTGCTCAAAGTTAATGCTCTATATATACGTAAGTAAGTTGGCCGCTTTCGAGCAGAATCGGCAATTCAGGTTATCTTCTGCAAATCACAATTTTTACTTTCTTTGTTGCTTAAACAATCTTAACTAGCTTCATGACCCGAATAAGACATTGTAATATGGCATCATTGCAGTGTGCATCGACATCTAAAAATGTGTTCTGTTTTTTGTTTTTTTCTGTGCATCATGATCCAGGTAATTACCTGCTCATAGGCACAACATAAAAAGCAAATAACGATGATAATGGTGATAACATAGTGGTCGCATTAACAGATCTCATAACTTCCAGGGAAGCACTTCTGACGGGGCTCACCATCGGTGTCGTCCTGGGAACAGTAGCGAGCCATCTATCCGGAGTCTCCCACCTTGCGGCGGCACAAATATGGAGCCGACTTCCATGGGGGATTGTCATCACCTTTGGCGCTGTGCAGGTTACGTCCAAGGTTGTTGAGGTGAGCCCGACTGTCCCCCACCAGTTCATGCGCTATCGTTTACTTCCGCAGTACTTTGTCTCTGATGGTATACTTCGTTTCCCCTTTAGATGAACCGCGGACGGCACTAAGAAGTTTTTGTAGATCGGTTTCCGCCGTCCCGTACAACGCCCTCGGCAGCGAAGACGCTCCTGCGCATGCGTGCCGCTAGCCTTGTCCACAGAGTTCTGGATATCGTAGCGGGTTGCAGAGAGCGTTGCGGGACAACGGAAACTATCTAAAAAAAAAATTCCTGTTACAAGCCATTGGAGCTAATCTAATGCTCTGTGATGTGCCGCGCGTGACCTTCGGAAGGGGAGCAGCGACGCGCGGGGAGCATAATCACGTGATACGTTCGCAGTGCCGGATTCGCTGGCATGACTCGTTGCGCCCGCTGCTGTCAATTGAAACGATCAACAGGAACGTTTATTTTCAGGGTATCTCGTGCATGAAACCAGTTCTCTTACGCGCTTTTTTCTAGGGAACAATTCGTGTTATTATTGCCTCCTGGTGGTAAAGCTAGTTTAAAAATTGTTGGGTGTATGTTCGATTGTGCAAAGGATATTCTATAAGTTTTGCTTCCTGATTTGTAACTTTTGTATTTAGTAATGGAATCGAAATATGTTACATAAGAACGAAAGTTTGGAATCTTCTCCTTCCCGGAAGGATTTTAACGGGATCCGGACACGCCAAAAAAAAAAGAGGTAACTATACTACTATGGGAACCATTCTATATATCTTTATAATCCTGCTAAATTTGTTTGGAAACGGCACGATAGTTTTGTGAATAGATCTATTTATATCCGGACCCTCGAATTCGCAACCGTTCGAAAAGGCCGTCGTGTCTGGAGGGCTGGTGACGTCACCAGCCAAGCGCACGGCGTCGCCTCGCACGCACTCACAGACTTGGCTCTCTTGCCGTCTCGAGCTTCAGCTTCCTCGTGTACCTTTTGCGTTTCAAGCATGCGGTCCGTGACGGTTACGTCTACGGCATCGCTCGCTTCGTCGAAGTCTTTGGCAGTGATCGCAGCAGCGATGAGTGATTTCTAACAAGAAATGTTGAAGGTCGTTCATTTTGACTGCGACCCGCTGGCGACCACCTCCTACGACGGCGAGTCACGTACGAACTCGCCCTGGTCGCCGTCGTCCGGGATAACCTTGCAGGCACATGCGGGGAGGAAGTTCAATGGGCTTGGGGCAAGAGCGAGAATAGCGTTGGGTTTGCCGAGTTGAGGGAGAGGTTTTGATCATTTCGCGGCGAGGCGAGCTTGGGCGATCATGGGGAAACCTAGAAAGAGAGAGCGTTCATGATCGCGTGGTTTATGCCATGGCACTATGGTTGGATGGATGAATATTATTGGCTATGCCCTTTGTAAGAGGCGGCAGCTTGCGTCACCTAGCGTAAGAAAATGCTTTCCTCCCCCACTTAAGGTGCAACCCCACCGTGCATGACGCTTTCATGCTTTTTTGACGGCTTATAACTTTTTTTCTATGTGTCTTACATTTATAAAGTGAATGTCAAATTAAAGAGCTGTTTTTCAACGATACTTTAATGTCTCGATATTACGATTATTGAAAATTTTATTTGTCGAGTTATGACGTCCCATCGTCCACGATATTTTACGTGAGCGTTCGGTTGGATGTAATAAAGTAAAAAAGTAAGCAACAAAAAGTACAGATAATGTATATTTTAAAATAAAAAATAAAGTCTAAAATGGTATTATTTTATGGCGCTATAAAAACGGAATCACGTCAACTAATCAAAATAACGAGACATTAAATTATGAAGCATCCTTCGATATTACAATTTCGAGAACTTCCATATTGATATATTGCGCGTTAATAATGTTATAAGACCTCAAACATTTCCCACTCAGTTACGGAAAATTGTAGTTTCTTATCATAAAATACAGATGGCGACACGTGTTCAAGAAGAGCTTGATGTGCATTTTCCGTCGTGTGCCGCTTGGAACGCCACGTGAAAGACAGAAAAAGCGCCAGATGTGAGAATGTCAGGTGCCTGGATGCTCGCAGTGAGCGAGCCAGAGATGTCAGAACAACAAGCGCGAGGCTGCGGGTGCACCACAGCTACTTTTGCGCGCGTTCGAACTGTGCGTCGGTTCACATGCCCGACGCGATCCAAATGAAATGGGCGCCATGAAATGTAGTCTGCCATCTCAGATTCCGCCACGCATGCGAAAACATTTTAATGTTTAATCACTTGCAAAAATCATTTTCGCAATCAAACTATGCTTGTCGGAATGGTTCGGCTATATTATGTTTCAAAAACCACCTCGGTGGCTCTTAAGAAGCAACGATTTTTTAAAACAAAACACAAAACATTAAATCGTCTCGGTGTCTCTGAGCCAACGTGCTGGCCCATGAATTCATATTTGTCGGATTTAAATATCGGCCGAGGTGCCCGCAATCCGACGGAGGCCAATCTGAGATTTCGGTTGCACGTCAAAAGATCTCCAGTTAGTCAAAATAAACAAGCATTTTTTTTTATTAGGGCGTGTTAAGTGATTTTTGTTGGTTTGGCTTGTGAGGAACTAAGATCTGAAAATTTGATTTCCTTTACTTTAGTTCGGAGCGCAGCCAACGCTACGGTCTGATGAAGCCACTGAGGCATCGCCAAGAGCGCGAGGTTAAGCTGTTCGTTCTCTTTCTGTGCCTAGGCGGTCGGGCTAAACTAGAGCCACTAAATAAGCTACGCTTCATACACATCTTGGTTGTTAAAATGATGGTTTTCAGTTCTCTGAAGCTTTATCTGAAATCACAGGAAACGCTGTTACGTCCTCCACAAATGTTTAAACAGTTCGAGAAAAAGCAAAGCAATATTACGTGAGCTACCTGACACCCAATGCTGAGGAAGTCGCACTTTTGAATCATGACGATCGGCAGTTGCGTTTATTTGTTACTAACCAACAAGATGGTGGCGCCCACAACAATATCGGGGGGAAAAGTGCCGATACTCTAAGCGTAGCTCATTTGGTTTACCTCACATGCTAAACTTAAAGCCCCTCTATCCTGGGAAAAGTGGCGCCATTTATTGTTTTAGAAATGCTCGAGGCACGTGCCGCGCGCCACTTCTGGGAAATTCATGGCGCCTGAAATCTAGCTCTGTGCTGCGCTGTGCCGCCATGATCTTCCCAAGAGCTGCACGTTGCACGTGCCTCGTGCATCGACGAAGCTTTTGAAATATGAAGGGGCTTTAGCTAAACCAAGTGCGGTGGGGGATCGTTAAAGGAGCGATGCAACAATTTTTGTACTTTGCGCAAATACCGCTTAAAACGGATCCCTAACGTTAATGACCTATGAAACACGCGTTCGTTTTTCACCCCACGCAATAGAAGTCCCAGAAAAAAATTGAAGAAAAACGAACACCGTTCACCCCCTCAACTCGCAGCCAGAACAAGCGGCCACGTGATCTGGAGCCGATTATATGCCGCCAGTGTTGGTCATAGCCACGCGCTGGGGTTGGCAAAGCGCAGGACACGCGCTGAGTTCCAGCCATTGTTATGGGTCGCCTGTTGTCGTCGTTGCAGCGATTGGACACGGGTCACTACCCGAATGCTTCTCGAGCTAGCAATTATCACGAGCCCAAGTCGAGTGCCCACGCAATGCTCGGGTCCAATCTACGAACCGCATTCATATATCGTCACTTGGGTGTATTGCGATCCCCACGTTACGTCATCAAATTTTGCAAAGGAGAGATTGAATGAAAATGATCGCTTTTGTCCTTGAAATTACACCGCAACAAAGAAGTTTCTTGGCCAGTGGCGTTGCGTGCGAGTATCCTTGAGTCCCAGGTGTGCCAGTAAGCTCGTGTCAAGTGAAAAACATTCCAATTGAATATCGTTGCACCGCTCCTTTAACCGAGTGTGTTGTGGCACCGCAGACCAGAGCACGTGGAGAAATGCTCGAGCGCGAGCTCCGTTCAGGGCACGGAGCTCACGCTACAGAACCTGTAGGGGCTAAATCCCCTCGATGCCGTTTGCGCTGGTCTTTCATGTAACCTCAAATGTGCCAGTACACGAGGCCCGTCTCTCGAGCAGCCCTTGGAGGCAAATGGCGGCGCAGCACTAAAATGACTGGCCCCTGAAAAAGATTGGCGGTGGAGCACCCACTCGGTGGCACGTGTCTTGCCCGTTTCCACAACAATGGTTGGCGGTACTTGTATAAAAACGCTTTTATCAAGGGGCTTTAGCAGGGACTCTGGGTTCAGTCGCCTATCTGAATCCTACCGTCGTGCGATCGTGTACCACATACACTGCGTATTGCACGTTAAAGACACGGAACTAACAGTTGTACAGCACTTTTTATAATCTTCAACGGGTAACAATGTCGCCCTACGAAACTCTTGCTCCCTAAAAAACTAACAACTAATTCTGAATGCCCCGTTACATTGCACTTTGATGTGTGTTCGCGTGTTCGCATTTTTTTTTTCTATATCTTTGATTATGCGGTTCTTACTTATGAAACAGACTGTAGTTGTCGGACTTCTGGAAAATATTATATAACTAAGAAAATGGCACGTGAACGCAAAAGAAAAAAAAAGATACACATAGGCGCACTTAATACAAATAATTGAAATAATAAAATTGATTATAATTGTGTTTTCAAAGGTTTGAGCGCACCAAAGGCTATAAAAGCAAGCTCGATGCATTGGATGGTGCGCTTGTTCACTGGAAGTGTAGTTCAGGGTTGAATGCTCACACTTGTATGTTCCGCTTCGCTCGCACGATAAAATCAAATACTCTTCTGGTAATGTATTTAGTGAAACAAAGCTACCTTCTGCATATGTGCAATGCCCTCAGTTTTCGCGTGATTACACAGACGCTTGTTTATCATTATTGTTTTCGTTTCCCACTGCGATTCATTTCGTGCTTTTTTGTGTGATACATGCCTTAGATACCAAGGTAACCCATGAGCATTCTATTTCGCGGATTGTAAGAAAAACCTATGCAACTAGACATGTGTTCCACGATCAATACAAAATATTCTATAAGCTTCACATCTGAACGCTGGCCTGAGTTAACGTTGTTGTTAGTCAAGAACAATTGCGATTGTATGAAATCACGTGGGAAAAACTCGTTCTAAGCACACGACCGTTAGCATGCAGTGAATACTCATAAATTCGCGCCGAGATGATTGGTAGCTGTCAGCGGGTGGAGTTTTTCTATCAACCCAGAGTTGGAATGTTTCCTTCTTTCTGTTGTAAGCAAACAGGAGACAATTTACACCAAATCTTAGGGTAATAAAGTACTATGAACATACAAACATTACTGCCTGAGCAGTATATGCGTGGAAGCTTTAGCTTTTGATGCACGCTTAACTTTCGATACGCTCAACGCTAGTGTAAAATATAGCGCTGTTTCAGTCTTAATCAGCGTATCATGTGCGTGCTTACACTGCATTTTATGCAACGTCAAACTCTACCCGTTTGCATCTTTTTCATTTATGCACATCACTACTTGCGCGCACAAATCACCAAATTAGAACTGGTGCAGGATGTCACAAAAAACATTTAGTTTTTTTGTTTTTTTTTACCGCAAAATAAATTACGCATTGCCTAACGCTCATTCTCCGCCCAAAGGTAGTGCTAGGTCACAACAAGATGCCAAAGTTTTATTCCGAATGAACACCTTATTCAAAAGTTATAAGTGATTTTCTGAAAATTTTCAATGGGAAAATGGAGCCCGTTTTTGCACGTTTTCGGTTTCTGGTGCCATAGAGCCTCATGTATTCGAAAACTACGTCGGCCGCCATTTTGCCATTGAACTTTTCAGAAAATCACTTCTTTTTTTAATAAGGTATCGGATCGTGCTCAAGTTTTGACATCTGGTTGTGGCCTCTAGCGCTACCTTTGGGCGGAGAATGAGCATCCGGCGATAACTAATTTATTCTTGCGGTAAAAAAAAAAAATCCTGTAATTTTTTTTGTAACTCACTGTACATTGCTTAAACTCTGTGCAAACGCTATCCACAGACCCAGAATCTTTGCCTGGCCAGTACTGCATTTATCACTGGATTCGTATTAAAATTAATTCTTATAATTTATTGCTGTGAATGAAGTATTAACCTCGGAATTTTTTTTATTATGACTCCCGCACCAGTCCTACTTTGGGTTTACCAAACTCAACATCTAAACCTGAGTGTCATTTTTTGTGTTTTCCAGCCTCGGTGGTTTTGGTCAAACTAAACACCCAGCTGCCTAAATGAGACACCTGGCAGATAGTTCATTTGTTTTGATATTTTAGGTAGTTAATTCCTCAAGCTAGAATTTTGGAACCCCATGTGTATCACGTCATCACGTTTTCCTGGAAACCCGCAAAGGGCCAAACACAAGCACGACAAAAGGGCCGGCCCGTCTTATTGCCGCCCGCAGAGCCGGGAACGCAACGATTGGTCACGAACTTCTAGAAGATTCGCGTTCATTCCTGCACCAAACTTAACTTTCGTCCTGCTTTCTTGTTCTTGAAAGTGCCAGTTCATCCTCGCCCCGAGCATGTGACACTCGAACCTTCTTTGCCGAACTTCCGAGATAGTGACGCACTGTAGATAAGGAGCTGCCCGCGACATTGTCGAGTCAGTCTCGCTCTCGCTCTCTATTACGCTCCCGAATCGCCGCCCGGTTTCTGCTGCCTTGACGCTCTTTCTATACTTTTTTTTTTACTTTATTTTTATTTTTCAGTTCACTGTTCGTCCTCTCGTCATCTTCATTCGTGACAATATAAATCTGATCACATTGAAATATGTGTAATTGGCCTCTGAAATCTCCGATAACGGCGCATGGGCAATTTTATATTTTTCAACACGTTGGTGGTTTTGTTATGCATGTGTCTCGCCCTTCGGCTAAGGAAAATTTTTGCATTTTGTTCTGCCCACATTTGCTGGAGACGTGAGCTCGGAGCGTAGGCAACTGGCCCCCTTGCACGAGAACTGGCGCAGCCGTGCGCGTTCCAAAAAAGCTCGTGCAGAGAAGAACAAGCGAGGGACCAGGGATGTCAAAATCGGGACATAGAAAAATAGCCCACTGTATCGAAGCGCCGCCACGCACGATTTCTCGCATTGATGTACAGGCCTGGAAGGCGATCCCACCGCCATCTATTGGTTCAGAATCACACTAACCAAGGGTGGGGTTGCACCTTAAACACCCAAGTTCTTTTCCTCTACATCCCTGCAACTATCACCGGGTTGTGGAAAATAACTACAGGCTGGCCTTTGGGGGATCCGGCAAATACAAAATAAAAAAGACCCTCCCCTACGCACACACACACACAAACACACGCACCCCCCTTCCCCCCCCCCCCCCACACACACTTTCTCCCCCCGGCGACAGAGTCGCCAATTTTCTTCTGGTCAACCTTGTTGGAGTTCTTTCCGAACCCAGGCCCACTGAGAGACAGGGGTGTGAATAACTTGGACAGTGTTGCCTGGTCGGCAGATGAAAATGATTAAAATTTGTAAATTGATTATTGCAATTGCTAGAGCTCTAACAATCGCGAAACTTGGTGTACATTCTAAGTAGCCTATGAGCATTCCATTTCAAGAATAATCTATCCGTTTAATTGTTGTGTCCTAGCCCCTTTAATTTTTGATATAGTCCCCATCAAGGGTAACACGCTTCCGCCACCAATGCACTAGTCTCTACATGTCGTCGAATAGAAGAGTGAGAGTGGTGTTGACGACACCAACGGTCCACTGCATCGGTGACATATTCGTCGTACGCGGACCGCGTACCCTTCAGATGTTTCTTCATCTTAGAAAACATCCAGAAGTCTGATGGCGCGAGGTCAGGGGTGTAAGGTGGGTGAGGTAAAACATCTTGGAACTGCAGCTCCTCCAGTCGGTCTCGTCAACAGTCGCCCTCATTCCTCTACATCGGCATGCAGAGACTCAAGGCCGGTTCAGACACTTGCGTTTGAGTGCGTTTGACTGCGTTGCGTCGAGAACCGAAAGCAAGTCACCGGCACATCTGTGCTTCGTACGAAGCGTGCAATCCAACTCAAGGAATCATCTTGGCACGCGACATAAGCAGCAGGTATGTCCTGGTTTCTCGCAGCCGCAACGCAGTCAAATGCAGTCAAACGCAACTGTCTGAACCAGGCTTCAAGGTCCTTGCGCACTGTTGCGTTTGAGAGCGCTTGAGAGCGTTTGAGTGGGTTTGACTGCGTTGCGTCGAGAAACGAAAGCGAGTCACCGGCACATCTGTGCTTCGTATAAAACAACTAATCCAGTACAAGGAATCATCTTGGCACGCGATATAAGCAGCGGGGATGTCCTGGTTTCTCGCAGCCGCAACGCAGTCAAACGCACTGCGTTGTGGCTGCGACGCAGCTGCGTGTAGGGTCCTTAATGTACCGGTGGCGGAAGTGCATCGCCGCTGGTGGATACTACATAAAAGTGATGTGCTTCCGGGAGTGAAGAGATTTCAAACTTTAATTTGAAGGTAGCATCTTTTGAGCTCTTCACTAAATGAAAAAAAAAAAAAAAATACAGCCCAGGAGGCTTAACCGAATGAACACTCCCCGTAAAACAAACTGCACAAACAAAATTGTCGCGCCTAACATAGAATCAGCGTTTGAAAACGCTGATTCTATGTTAGGTTCTATGCACTGAAGAATTCTCAACTTATTCTTCATTTTATCGACACTAGACAATTCACTACATTGCATGTAATTATTATAGTTGCAGGTTTTTGCCATTTAACATGCTAAAAAGTTTCTTTTAATTTTTTTTATACTCGTTTGTTTTGCTTTAGCGGTACGACCTATTGAAGGCGCTGTTCAAGCTGCTCGACTCGTCTTTTTGGGAGACAAGATCACCGATCCAAGTGCAGATCATCCTTACCGCGATATCGTCCGTACTGGCGGAGGCCGTCGACAACAGGACACTTAGCCGACTCATGATGCCCATCGTTACTCACATCGTAAGTACTGTGCAGCAGCATGTGATGGTCGCTGCGTTTGACCTCTGCTCAAACAGAGCTTCCCAGGAAGCAGAGTGTCATGGTAATTTGTCGAAAAGTCGTTCTGAAAGTTGCAGTAGGTTGTGAGCGGTCCCGGTGTTTGTTTATTTGTCTAAGTACGCTTCTTTTATTTATTTATTTCTCATACTAATCTTGCGTGTTTACTTATTTCTCTAGATAATCCTTTTATTTATAAAGTGCCTGACACCATAACTTTGCAAGTACTGATCATTTAAACAAAAAAGGAGGCGGAAGACATTCATGCTGGCGATTCTGTAATTGTAGAGCACCAAAAATATTTGTTAGAAACTTTGCAAGTGCCGCGGCGCTTATTTCTTGGTCTATTCGTGTTCGATGGAGTATTATCACATCAGGCACACCAATCTCTTGTTGAAAAAGACACGAAAAGAAATTTTAAATCAAATTAAACGATTAGCAAAGAGGACCTGGTGGATGTCGCGAACGCCTCGTTTGTAATGCCCCTGTAGGAATCTTGACAGGTAGTGACGGTAAAGGCCCGTTCACACTCTTGCAACCGAGTACGACCGAGAGAGACCAAACCGGTTTTTAAGCCTCTTGCGATCTCTTAAGACCAGCTCCGCTGCCTCGCATCCGGTCCTAAGAAGTCGCAAAAAGCTTAAAAATCGGTCTGGTCGCTCTCAGTCGTACTCGGTCGCAAGAGTGTGAACGGGCCTTAACTGTCTCACCTCCGGCCATGACTAAAGCCACGACAAGAGAAGAGGTGAAGAAAAAACTTCCCTCGCCCCGAGACTCTTTCTTTTGTGTGTCCTAAAAGTCGCTATTGTCTCTCTACAAGATTATAGAGGATTAACCCTTCACTCAAAATTCGTACAAAGACAACTTTGGGGTTACTTGCGGTGGAGCGATCGCTAATGGGCTTCGGCGATTTTCAGCGGATGCTACGAACTTCAGGGCCTATCCAAGCCCGTGTAAATGTCACATGACCTTGGAGAGGTGGAACAGCGACGCGCGGAAAGCGTATCACGGGGTACGTCCACAGAGCGGGATTGGCTGGGATGGCTCGCAGGGCGTCCACTGCGTCCGGACGTAAGGTCCTGAGACAAACTACGCCACGATTGCTGCGGATGTGACGTGCTCTCCGCTGGCTGCTCTCGGACCGTTTGCCAGAGTGGGCCGTTGAAAAATACAGCCATCAGGCTCAAAATACAAACGTGCGATTGTCATTTCTGAATGTTGTGGATCATATTCAGCCTATTTGTGAACACGACGGGTATATTTCGAATTTCGTTGAAGTATCCCTTTAAGCTGAGACTGCAGCCAAAGCTCCAAGCGCGAGCTAGCCTGCGCTCCTGGATTTGAGACGTGCATTTCTAGCGGAAGTTCTCGTTCTGCGGAAGACCGCTTCATAAAGCAGCGACCGCGAGCTCTTGTGCTTGTGGCGTTGGCTGCAGCCTCACTTCAAAGGGAAATGGAAGCGTTTCTGTTTTTGAGGGGGAAAAACACCTAAATCTTCTTTATTCGGCCTTCAAGATCACGAATATCGAAATTATTTTTCAATTTGGTGCACGGAGGCTGCATAATTTCAATTTTAATGTGCCGCTGAAGCCCCTCGTTTCTGGGGCGTGACGTCACATTAGGAGCTTTCGGAATCTTCGCCCTCGCGCACCTTCAGCGCTTGTCAAAACTATGCACGCACACTCTTGCTACTTTTAAAAAGGTCAGAAAGAGACGTCGCGACTGGTGTCAGTGCGGAAAGATATACCTGGCAAGCTTGCAATAGGCCGATTGCTATAGTACAGTGGCTATGGGGAGTATTCATTGGACACCATATTTGTGAGTGCTGTTTAGAGCGCATGCTTAGAACGAGCTCACATAAATAGGCTGTTAAGACCGGCACTCTTGATGGTGCGGAATGCACGTTGCAAAAGAATTGTGGATGCTCGCCTTTAGCACGCGCTCAGCATTCGCGCACACATCTATGGCGTCCAGTGAATACCCCCTATAGGGAATATTCACTGGACGCTATATTTGTGGGTGCTGTTTAGAGTGCATGCTCAGAACAAGCTCACATTAATAGGTCGCTAAGACAGGCAGTCTTGATGGTGCGGAATGTACGTTGCAAAAGAACTGTGGAAGCTCGCCGTCAGCACGCGCGCTCAGCATTCGCGCACACAGCTACGGCCGTCATCGCGATCGCGATCAGCCAATCAGGGCTCGACGTTCTGACGTCACCGCTACCTTCTGCACAAGAAGCAGACGAGCTTGCCCTCCGCATGGTTTCAGCCGAACGCTGGCCCTCAGCAGGTGGCGTATAAAGATTCGGCACCGCGGCTTTTTACCAGGAAGGTATTGACAGAGCTACGCTGCTGCTCCTGTGCGTACCTTCGCCATTCACAATACTCTGGACGCTGCCATTATTCACGCACACGCGAGGATGAGACAATCGTCGGGGACCTCCCTCGTTCTTCTTTTTGTCAGGCGACGGCGACTGACGCGCCCCCGATGTACTACGGGATCCCGGTCGTCGTGGCAGCCTCCAGCAACGCCGTCATGCCCGTGTCTGTCACGATGGTCGTCCTGCACGAGCTCACCAGGATCCCATGTCTGCAGCTGGTGAGTACCGCGCGACAGGTACATTGCCGAGGAAGTCGGGTTTCGGTCCACCTTTTTTGTACCTCATTTGTACTGTCGTCACTGACAAGATGAGAAGGGCAGAATGCCCGACCTCCGATACCTTGCGTTGTTCATCGGGAGCGGTGGCACGCTCACGAGACAACCAAGTGTTATCGCGCTGGAGCTAGGACAACCAAAGGGCCTTTCTTTCGTTCTCATTCTGTCTGTGACAGTACCGTTCTTTTGGAGGGATTCGAACGTTGTGGGCTTGCACATCCTTTGAAATTTGTTTCGCTACAAATTTAACTTTGCCAATACCTTTTCGAAACAAGCTATATCTCATTCTCTCACGATTGAAGGTTGTGCTTTCCTTTATCGCCTGTCAATACTAATACCCATACCACGTAGAAAAGGATAAGGGCGAGCAAAATTGTGAAGGTAAGCGGTTTGCAGAAAACTACCGATCAAAATAAGCACTTTCGCGTGGTTCGTACTGGCAGGTCTTGATCGGCTGAACTGAAGCAGAACCAGCGAAAAACGTTAGGGTATCGACGTACGATAAGATATCTGTCGAATCGTATCGATTCGACAGATGTCATCTGAATCCGTAAATGCAGAACATAATCTCAGCCCCCACCAAACAACACGTTCCAGTGCTATTCAAAACTGTGAATAAAGAAAAAAAATAAAAACATGAGGTGCTTTATTTTATTAAGTCGTTTTAGAGCCTCCACGTCGACGTTACGTGCACAGCGCCTCACAGCTAACGTAACTATAGTTAACGCTGCTTGTTAACTAGCTCCTGAAGATATCATCATCTAGTTTGCCACAGATTGCTTGTTGATGGAAGTCAAAGATTTGTTGATGAAAGTCGATGGACACCGGTCGAAGACACGTTCCTGACACAGTATACTATAGCAGTAACTCTCGTTTTGGGTATGATCTCCTCAAACGTTTCTGTTCAACAACGTTGGCACTTTTCTTTCTGCAGTTCTACTTGGGCCTCCTGGTGAAGATACTCCTCGTTGTCGCCACCTTGGCCACCGTCAACGCAGCGGGGCCCATTATGTTTAATTGGTGGAAGATAACGCCCGGCTCAATATTTACATGACGATAGCCAAATATATATTTGTCGACTTCTAAGCCTAAGGGCACCCGAACAAGTCGTTCGCTGTTCTGTAAAGTTGTAAAGTTAGTTAAACAATATATCGCCCCAGACAGCCAATAAGCGTACCCCCCCCCTCCCCCCCCCCCCTTTTCCTTAAAAAAATTGCTTGTATGGATTGTATGTTTTGGTTAAGTATCTAATGCGTGACTCATCATAATAAAATGTAAATGCCCGACAATTTTATCAATTTATAGTCTACCCGACATGTGGATATACCCGCCTCGCTATCGGCTGTTATTTTATTTTCGTTTCTTGAAGTCAGAGTTTTTCACTGCCGGCTGTGCACGCAGGTAAGTAAAGACAGCCTCACATGGCTTCAGAATTAGTTAGCGTGTTAACCTAGCATGCGATAAACAAACCCGAGCAAGCTCGGCGATTTACAATATAGTAACAGAGATCTTAAGAAACGTGGCGTCACGGGTCTCGTGCGTCTCATTACCACTCCGTAGCCAATCAGATAGCGACATGAGCCGCTAAGGACGCCAAGGGGCCAATCACAGAGCAGGAAGCGTGAACATGGTTAGCCACGCCCTGCGTTCCTGCAGTTGTCGGTTACCGTAGTAGGGTTCACCACTTATGCAAATCGCCAAGTACCACCACAAGTTAGGTGAAGAGCAGTTCTACAAATGGCCGAAAACAAAGTTAACAATCAGGTGAGTTGGTTTAGGTTAGTTTATACACCAAAGGCGAACGAAGGACAGAAAAGGGACAAACAGACGCATCAAATGCAGCCGAATAAATCGTTTCACAAGTGCTTTACATGCCATTTTTGCCCACAACCTTTACCCATTTCGTTCGAGCAGCCATCAGCCAAAATATTTCATCGTTCCATGATGGTACTTATTGGCCTCCCTTCGTCCGTCGTTGAGGGAGCTATCTGCTTGCTTCTGCGTTTTACCAACACCAAAAACGAGGTTAACGAAGACTCACTCGCGTGCAAACCGACTAGGAAAAATGGCGGAAAGCGTCCCCGGAGAGACCGAGGCAGACGACTTATAAGGGACTTTCAGGAAACCGTTGCTGTGTTCTGCGTACCGCTATACCGGAGCCTTTGAAGCATGTTTTTTTTATGCGCGCGTCCGCGGTCACTGTATCATCGATCGGGCATGCTTGAAAGGCTCCGGTAGTGCGGTACGCGGGACACGGTAACGGTATTCTAGAAGTCCCTATTGGCGTTAGATTTCGTAGTTCTCGTACACGCTGCTACCCGAACTTTAGTCAGGTACAAGGTTCATTGTATAAGAGTCTGCACCATAAAAAACAGTACTTGTATTTTTTTTTTTTTTTTTTTTCGTGTCGACGACGTCGCGGCGATCACTAAAGGCGGTCTATTGCGATTGCTTCTGTGCGTCTTTTAAAGTGCACACCGAGAAGTCGAAGACTTTCGAATTTCAAGGGCGGCAGAAACCACCGCGATGGATCGCATCAAACGAGCATTCCAAGATACCAATTTTCATCCTTCATCCGAAGAGCCAATAGAAAACCAAGAAAGCACCTGGAGGAAAACGTGTTTCACGAGCTACATAACTTTCCCCGCTGTTTCTGAGGTCGCCACCACTATAGACGCTTTACACACGCGCCAGATTACAGACGCCATTGCCGACCTTCTATTGTCTTACCGAGATATCAAACCACTGAAGCGGGCTTTGGCGAGCCTCCACAAAGGCAAATGCTGGGGAAAAAGACACCGTCGCATCTAAAATGCCAGTAACCTGTCCTCCTGTGGTAATGATGGAACAGAGTGAAAAATATAAGCGAATACAAAAACTGAAGGGCGGTTATGGCGGCGCCCATGCACAGCTGCTGTAAAGCGTCTATATGCGCTGCAGGTTTCATTTTCGCGCGCCATGCTGCAAAAAAGAGCCTAGAAAGCGTGTTTTTACATCGTAAGGTCGGTCTGCCTTTGAGGCGTGGCGACACTGGTTTACCCTCTAGATGCGAAATTTAACCAGTGCAGTACCTCCAATAGCTTGGCGTCTTTAACACGCATCACGCAGTAGCAAACTGTACTCGTTACAAGTAATCAAATTACGAGCAATCGATTACTTGTTAAAGCATGACATGCTTTTTAACGGAACACTCCAATCCCAAATATTTGTCCATTCGTTTGTCCGTGCACTTCCCGCAATATTTAGAAGGGAAGCAGTTGGTGTTTAGGTCGCGTGACGTCATTTGATGTCACGTGACCTTAAGCAATGTGACCCACACACCAATTCAGTTTCCCGGCTTAAGTTAGCGATAAAATTGTGCCGCCTGATTTGAGGGCACGTGACGTATACACCAATTAAATTTCCCTGCTAAATTCAAGGGGAAAATTGTATTCACGACCTCAGTTTACCCAGCGGAAAATTTGTGTCACGTGACATAACGCCACGTGACACAATCACGTGACGCATGAGACCGGGCCAGGGTTCCGCGTGCCAAGCAGGCGGCATTCGGGCACCGAGCCTCCACGAACCAGAGAGGCCTCTCTCAAGCTTAAAGGAGCGATGCAACAATTTTTGTACTGTGCACAAATACCGCTTAAATCGGATCCCTAACGTTAATGACCTATGAAACACGCGTTCGTTTTTCACCCCACGCAATAGAAGACCCAGAAAAAAATTTAAGAAAAACGAGCGGCGTTCACCCCCTCAACTCGCAGCCAGAACAAGCGGCCACGTGATCTGGAGCCGATTATATGCCGCCAGTGTTGATCATAGCCACGCGCAGGGGTTGGCAAAGCGCAGGACACGCGCTGAGTTCCAGACATTGTTATGGCTCGGCTGTTGTCGTCGTTGCAGCGATTGGACACGGGTCACGACCCGAATGCTTCTCGAGCTAGCAATTGTCACGAGCCCAAGTCGAGTGCCCACGCAATGCTCGGGTCCAATCTATGAACCGCATTCAAATATCGTCACTTGGGTGTACTGGGATCCCCGAGTTACGTCATCAAATTTTGCAAAGGAGAGATTGAATGAAAATGATCGCTTTTGTCCTTGAAATTACACCACAACAAAGGAGTTTCTTGGCCAATGGTGTTGCGAGTGAGTATCCTTGAGTCCGAGGTGTGCCAGTAAGCTAGTGTAGAGAGAAAAACATTCCAATTGAATATCGTTGCACAGCTCCTTTAAGCCTACGATGTGTTAGTCTCACTCGGTACGTAACAATGGTGAACGAAAGCACTGCTAGAGCCAGCGCACCAGCTGAGCGGCACTTGAATCGCGTATATTATACTCCGTTTCATCTCATGTTCTACCGCAGCGAAGGCTAGAACCGCGAGCTCGTAGCCGAGACGTGCCCTAGAGCAACGAGCTCGCGCTTGTAGCCTTTTTTGCGGTACATCATAAGGTGAAATTAGGGTGCCTTCATGTGCGCTTTGCTTAGGGTGGAGACATCTGGCCATTTTGTTCCCACTTTTACATTTATTTTTTGTTCAGAAGCGCGTGAAAGAGCGTGTCCCTGCAGGCGTCTGTGGCGCTGACTGTGCTATGGCGACATTTTGTTTTCGTCGATTTCTTTGTATTTTCCCCGTGAGTGCGTGCTGTCGGCATCGGGTACTACAAAGGGTGGCATCACTCGTAACAGAAGGTCATTGAGGCACCCTAGGTGAAATAGGGAATAGACGCTTTACACACGCACCAAATTACAGCTGCCATTGCTGACCTTCTCTTGTCTTACCGAGATGCCGAGCAACTTAAACGCTCGGGAGCCTGGCGGCCCGGCGCTGCTCTCCAGAATGACGAACGACCGAAAGGTTCCGTCGACGCCGACAACGTTCGACGCCGGCGACCGGCGCACGAGATTTCCACACAGAAGACAGGCACACAAAAAACACACGCACACAGCTATGACTAGCAACTCAGGTTTGTATTTATTTTTTCCATAATCATCATCTTCTCACTGAGAAACGAAGCATTAGAGAAAACATATACGGCGAGAATTTAAGTGTAAAATATGATGAAGACGAAAAATAATAAAAGAGAAACAATAAGAAATACTACGCTTACAATAACATAAAACCGACGTTTTATTTTAATTTTATATATTTGTATATTTAAAATAAAATAAAACCCTTAACCGCGGTTAACTTTGCTGTTACTCGGAACCACAGTTACCGCACTCTCGGACATCTATTTCAGTAGTGAAGAGCGCGCGTGCACTGCTTTGATGGGTGCTCAAGATGTTCAAGCGCACGTTCGGCCACAGCTTTGACTGCATAGCCGCAGAATATTGTCGGAAAGTATTGTGCGCTTAGTGTGCCCGAGTAACAAGGGCATTAAAGGAGCGATGCAACAATTTTTCTACTTTGCGAAAATACCGCTTAAAACGGATCCCTAACGTTAATGACCTATGAAACACGCGTTCGTTTTTCACCCCACGCAATAGAAGTCCCAGAAAAAAAATTAAAGAAAAACGAGCAGCGTTCACCCCCTCAACTCGCAGCCAGAACAAGCGGCCACGTGATCTGGAGCCGATTATATGCCGCCAGTGTTGATCATAGCCACGCGCTAGGGTTGGCGAAGCGCAGGACACGCGCTGAGTTCCAGACATTGTTATGGCTCGGCTGTTGTTGTCGTTGCAGCGATTGGACACGGGTCACTACCCGAATGCTTCTCCAGCTAGCAATTATCACGAGCCCAAGTCGAGTGCCCACGCAATGCTCGGGCCGAATCTATGAACCGCATTCAAATATCGTCACTTGGGTGTACTGCGATCCCCGAGTTACGTCATCAAATTTTGCAAAGGAGAGATTGAATGAAAATGATCGCTTTTGTCCTTGAAATTACACCGCAACAAAGGAGTTTCTTGGCCAGTGGCGTTGCGTGTGAGTATCCTTGAGTCCCAGGTGTGCCAGTAAGCTCGTGTCAAGCGAAAGACATTCCAATTGAATATCGTTGCACCGCTCCTTTAAAGAAGGCAGGTTGTGAACGCGCAGATCGTAAGCGGCCGTAACATAACGTAAGAAATGGCACTGTGT